GCTCCCATGCAATTGTGCATTGGGGTGCCGTCTGCCTGTGAGGCAGGGGTTCATGCAATGCAGGAGTTGTTCGCACGAGAGGACACGGAAGGCATCTTGTTTGTAGATGCTACGAATGCGTTCAATTCATTGAATAGAAACGCGGCCCTCCATAACGTGCCCTATGTATGCCCCGCTATGGCAAAGGTGTTCCAGAACACGTACAGTTCTTCAATTCGTCTCTTCGTCTCCGGCGGCGGGGAGATTGAGTCACTGGAGGGTACTTGCCAGGGCGATCCGCTGGCCATGGCTCTGTATGGTATCGCTACAGTCCCGATGATTCGGCGCCTCCAGGAATCCAATCCATCTGTGGCTCAGGTTTGGTACGCGGACGACGATTCTGCAGGTGGCCGCGTTTCTTCATTGTCCACATACTGGGGAGACATAAGCCAACTGGGCCCTGACTATGGATACTTTCCAAACCCACAGAAATCAGTGTTGCTGGTCAAGCCGGAGCATGAGGAAGAGGCCCAGCGCCTCTTCTCCGCCACTGGAGTTACCATCAAGACCAGCGGCAACCGTCACCTCGGCGGAGCGATTGGCAGTGAGGAGTTCTGCTCTGCCTTCATGGCCAAGAAGGTGGATAAATGGAAGCAGGTTCTGGATTCCCTGACGGGGATGGCTGTCACTCAGCCTCAGGCCGCATACACCGTTTTTACGAAGGGTCTGTCATCCACATGGACATACCACTTGCGTTGCTCACCTTGTTCGGCTGAGATACTGGCCGAGCTTGATGAGAGGATCAATGATTGCCTGATACCTGCCCTTCTGGGGGATGGCGTTCGTCCTGGTAGCCCTGAGAGAGAGCTGATGTCATTTCCAGTGCGTCTTGGTGGTTTGGCCCTCCCTCTGTTGCAGGATAGTGCACCAGCAGAGCTCGCAGCATCCTTGAGCATCACAAAGCCTCTTGTTCAGCTACTGTTGACTGGCACATATGCGAACCCTCCAAGCGTGCCTGGTGATATGGCAAGGAGCGATTTGTCGGATACTGCCCAGTCAGAGGGCTCCGGTGATACAACCCAGGAGGTTGCCGACCGAGTGAGGCTCTCCAATCATGATCCCGTCCGCGATGCTGTTGGGGACACCCGCCAGCTGGCACGCTCGACTCGGACAAGCAAAATGCGGAGCCTATGCAGCCGGCAACAAGACATTAAGGCGGACTTGAGCTCGGAGCAACAATTTCTTGTTGAAATCGCGTCCGAAAAGGGAGTATCGTCATGGTTGACTGTTGCCCCGCGGTGGCAAGATGGAACCATCCTGAAGAAATCCGACTTCCGTGATGCCCTGTGCATCCGCTATGGGCGGAGGTTGAGTGGGCTACCCGATTCATGTGTTTGTGGTGTGCCTCTCAGCCCCGCTCATGCACTTACCTGTGCCACTGGCGGCTATACCATTGCCCGTCACAATGAGGTGCGGGACTTGGTTGCTGGACTACTGAGGGAGGCTGGAGTGGTGGACGTAGAGACGGAGCCCCGGCTATTGCCCTGCAGCAGTGAGCATTTGCCTGGTGGTCGTTCCCTCAACCGATGCGCAGAAGCTCGTCTGGATGTGCGGGCTCGCGGCTTTTGGTCGTGGCAACAGGACGCTTACTTTGATGTGCGGATCACTCATCCCGCAGCGTCTGTGTTGTCTCGATCACAAGCCCTGAGTCAGCTGAAGTCTCACGAGCGAAACAAGAAAAATCAATACGCCAGCCGTGTGGTTAACGTGGAGCGCGGCTCCTTCACGCCACTTGTGTTCTCGACGTACGGCTTTAGTGGCCCAGAAACTACTCAATTCCTGAAATCATTGGCCTCCCTGTTTGTTGAGCGCCATACTGAACTGAAGTACCCACTAGTAATGGGCATACTACGCACCCGTTTGTCTTTCTGCTTGCTGCGGTGGGCAGTCACCTGCTTCCGCGGTTGCCGCGGTTCGTACGGCAAGAGGCGACAGCCGAACTCATTTCTGGCCCAGTGCCGCCAGGCGGAGTAGGGTGCTGCCTTTGGCCTCAACTTAATATAATGCTATTTGGTTTTTTCCCCTTTTATTACTCTGTGTTCATTGCTTGTTTTTGTATTGATTTACTTCCTTGACTGCTTTTGTGTTTCATCATTTTCCGGTTGGTTTTGTGTTGATTTCCCCTGTTCACTTTACATATTGTAATGATATACATTTGCTTTGCCCGTAAAAGAGGCTTTTCTCATGATGATGATGATGATGATGATGATGATGATGATGATGGCTAGTGCTGACACCTACACTGGGCTAAAGTACAGTACACGTAGTGACGTACTTCAACTTTTCAAGCATTACTATCTACCCATAGAAAATAGCATGACATCACGCTGGAGTAGCAAGTAGGTTCCTTCCAAGCCCTTGGCTCCCAATACTAGAAACAGGCACAAGCTTGAACCTGAACACTTTCGATCAAGTGTGGTCTACACCCAGTCATGAGCTAGTACTAGTACTAGTACCAGTACAATGACGTATTGCCTACTATTGGACTTGAACACCTTGATACTAACTACTTGATAGTGAACAAAACATGACCGACTTGCAGCTGTACATGATGGCTTCTTTTTAAACTCTACACATGTTTTTCAGTATCAATAACCCCCCCCCCCCCACCTGACCACTCATTACATGTACATGATTGTAGTTCCGGATTTCAACACGAAGAGAACATCATTTTTTTCAACACGAAGAGAACATCATTTATCACACAGCTTGCGGCAGAGATTCCCCAGATAGTAGGAACGGTCTTTTGCAGTTTCTGATTTCATGCAGGAGACCGAGAGCAGGTGTAAACCTTCCGAACCCTTAGCGACCTCTCTCTGCAGCCGCACAATATGTTCCTCCGTTCTCCCTACCGTTTGGCGACCTACAGTTTAGAAACTGTGATGCACTCATCGTACTCTCTGCTGGGGCTTCTCTCCTGGATCCTGCTTCACTATGGAAGGAATGAAAGTCATACAGCGAGCTTCCCGTCTTGACTTCTAGCAACCATCCTCCGAACCACTCCACAGCACTGAATCTGCCAAGTACTAGTACACAGCTTCCTGACTACCTCCAAAGAAGTACGTGATTGGCTCAGCTGTGTGACACAGAAACGTACATTTGCCATCCTCTGCTCAGCTATCAACTCCCTAACGTTTCAGTGCAATGTCCCCTGAGCGCCGCCTTTCCTCAACCTCAGTTCGAAGTAGAAGACTTTGCCTTGATTGGTTGCAAAACGCAGTGAAAAGGTCTACAAAGGTCGCACCGCACTTGTCAGTATCCCGGAGTTAGTGCATTCAACCAGCAATAGCAGCACAGTAAATATACCATTGGCGATGATTTGCTTGCCGGCACCAGTTGATCCGAAGTTTCACGATTGCCACGCAATCATACTAGTTCTTCGCAAATTCCCACGCAATTAGTACTGTTTGCTTTTCGTTTCAAGCGGCTCGTTGACTACTGCATTTTGGGTCAAGAAAGGATAAGCGACAGTGAGTAAACCCAGTGGCTAAAATGCACTCATTTCGCCCGAGCTTTCTGACTGTCTCTGTGGGTAGTTAGCTGATTCGTTGCTACTGTTTTTGCTTGACCTTTACTGTCAGTGTTGTGCGCTTACTTTCTACACATTGCCGGATCTGCAATTAGGAAACGACATTCTAACTGCGTGAGGAAAAGGAGATTCGCTGACTTGTGACAGCGAGGACATGTTTAATATAAACTGCTTGCAATGACATTATGTAAGTTTGAAATAAGAGCTCTCCTTCTCTCCCGCCCACTGGCAGGTTGTGCAAGAGCCTGATCCATGGCAGGTTGCTGAGGTCTAGTAGAGTGGTTGGCCGTGCCAGGCTGTCAAGGTCCGATATAGTAGCTGGCCATGCGAAGCTGCTGAGGTCTGACACCTTAGTATGTACATGTACATGTACATTCCGCTAGCTGCTACATCAGATCAAAGTGCAGGGCGGATAGGGACTTATCACCATGCCTATCGTTGTCCAGCCCAGTCTCTCCATCAAAGATTCGCTAAGCCTAAGAATTCTACCATGAGTGACAAACTAACTTCTCATCGTATAAAACTATATTTTACTTTCCACCCTACAGTCAAAACTTACTGCCCGACTGTATACATGAGTTGAATTCCAAATTCAAGGTCATACTGCGAGGAAAATTAGATCTTCATTTTCGATTGGTTATACCCAGCAATGAACACACAGAAAATTCACTGACAATTTTTTGTAGAAAGGAAAAATTACCAAGGAACTACAAGTTCCGCTATAATGTCCACTAACACCACCAGTCACTCAACAATCAGCTCATGCGATAACTTTGCACGACACTCACCGACGGTACTGACGTTCTACAACTAACTGGCTATCAGCTCTAGCAAGCCTTGGATGCGCACTCCAACAGCCTTCCAAATTGGAAGGTCCTAAGTTATATGACAACATAGGAGGGGAAGGTGAGGGGAGGGGGGAGGTGAATTGCTCACTAAATCCTTATACAATCCTATTGGGCTCTCCATCCCAGTCCATTCTAACACGCTTGATAAACATTTACACTGTCTTGGCCAGACGGGGATTAGATGTAGTGACTGTGTTCGACAGCTTCTACTGACTGACTTAGAAAATTCCATGCCGGCCGTGATTCACAGCCCATTTCACACACCTTTGGACCTTTGGAAAGCCCATCGCCGAAGGCGATGATAGCTTCACACACAGACACACACACACACAAACACACACACACACACACACACACACACACACACACATGAAGTCCCATCCACGCTAGAGAGCAGAAACTAGACAATTTACAAAGCAAATATATCGGGGCAGAAACCATGTCTAGCAGGATAATATTCTCAAGTTTTTATCCGATACTGGAAACACTCAATATCCCAAGACATAATGTACAGAGCATACAGGTGCAAAATCCCAAGACATTATGTACACTAGGTTGCAAAACGTTCGACTTTCATCCCTTACCCTGTACAGTAGGCATCTTTGGACGTTGTGAGTCCAACGGCGGAAAATACTGCGTCGTGTAGCTGGGTAGTTGAGCTCCCGTCATCCCTTGGCGGCCTTCTGCTTCTGACGTGTTCCTTGAGGAAGACATTACGAACGTGACAACTAGTGCAGTGTCAAACAGCCAACCGAGTCTCTGGGAATTGGCTGTACTTTTTCGACCACAATGGTAGCCAAAACAAGTGAGGTGACTGGCTTGTCCAGAGAACAGCAGCAAGTTCTGGTCCGGGAGATACGGATAGAATGCACGGAACGACAGGATAGTCCTGATCCACACTATTACAGGAGAGTTGGTTGGTTGGTTGGTTTTTATTTCAGAGTGACTGCTGGAGTCTAGCAACGTAAAGAAGAATAGGAGATGACCCGTTGTGAAGCGTACTCGTAGCCTGTGACTCGACGAATGGTGCCGTTTCTGCTAGTCAGAGGGTTATATTGTTGCCCGGAATCTACCTATGCAGCGCGTATGCGCTAGTGCTGGCTGGAGTCCACGGTGTTCGTGACGTCATTCAACAGGCATTACTAACGTCTTTACCCCTTTGTCTTTCGCTGTCGCCGGCAGTAATGTATAGCAGTAGAGATCGCACATTGTACAACGAGCCGTTCTGAGTTCGGTATATTTTTAGTAGCAGTGGGTAGACTTACTGCAGATTCATTCATAGGAAGTAGCTTAGAGCAGACCCGCTCGTTTCGGCAAAATTGCCCCGACCAGGTTTGTGATGGTATGCCAGCTTGAAAAAGAGTAGGCCAGTGATGAAACTGCAAAAGACATTCCCCTTTGTCTAACTTTCATCCGTGGTCAGCATGTTGACGCAATACTACTCAAGAGCAAGGAAGCAATTGCTATGAGAGTTTCGCACCCTTCACAGTCTAACCAAGTTACTTCGATTTTAATTATTATTGGTACCCCTTCACTTGTACCCTATAACACCTCTTTCTCGATTCGTCGAACGCTACTCAGTATGTGGTGACGTGATGGACATTGCGTGTAATCGGTAAACAGTACATCACAACTGTTAACCAAGAAGTGGAAGCGTGTCATGCAGCGCGATTAGCACATCAACGTAGAATTCGCAACAAGCTTACTGCAGGTTCCCTCCGGGACAAAGAGTGGTGGTCAACCATCAAGAGCGCAGCAGGCAAGGGACGTTGCTCTGACATCCCCCTGCTGACCAACCCTGCAGGACAAGAGTTCCACTCTTCTCGTGAGAAAGCCGATTGCTTTGCAGCGCATTTTGCGAACAAGTGTAGCCTTGGCAATAACGACCTCTGTGCTGCTGACCTGCCTGACCTGCAACGACCTGCCTATGCCACGCTAAAGCACATTCACTTCCGCGCAGCAACGGTCAAACGGCACTTGGCGAACTTGGCTGTATCAAAAGCAACTGGACCGGATGGCATCTCTGCTCGTGTGCTCAAGATGTGCTCATCTGAACTTGCAGACCCACTGGCAAAGCTCTTCACCCTCTGCTTCTTAGCCGGTGTGCAACCCGGGGCATGGAAACTTGCCCATGTAGTCCCAGTTCACAAACGGTCCTCCAGATCTTTGGCATCTAACTACCGACCAATATCACTGCTAACGATAATGTCGAAAGTCATGGAGGGCATTGTAAACACGCAACTGGTTAACTACCTAGAGAAGCATGAGGGGTTGCCAAACAGCCAGTTTGGATTCCGACGTGGTAGAGGAACCGCAGATATCTTAACGGCTCTCCAACATGAATGGGTCCACACCATAAGTACTGGCGGTTGTGTCCAGGTCCTCGCCGTGGATATTGCCGGTGCGTTTGACCGGGTATCGCACACAGGAGTGCTGTACAAAGCAAAGCAGGCCGGCGTCGACGGACGCCTGCTTGTATGGCTACAGGACTACCTCACCAACCGAAACATCCGCGTTGTGGTTGGAGGCCAGACGTCAGATGCTCAACCCATCCAGGCTGGTGTCCCCCAAGGCAGCATCCTAGGACCCAGCCTCTTCCTTCTATACACCTGTGACATTGAACAATGTTTAACTCCAGGAACGCAGCTGAGCAGCTTTGCAGACGACACCACACTCTACAGCTTAGTACAGCCAACTGACGATCTCCAACAGTCCACCGCCTCCCTCCAAGGGTCCCTCAACAGTCTTGAGGAGTGGGGCCGCAAGTGGCATATCTGTTTTGAGCCAGCCAAGACACAGCGCATGACTCTACATCGCAAGCACGTTCCCCCCTGCACTCCACCAGTCACCTTTGGAGGTGAAGCACTCCAGGAGACAGATACCCTGAAGCTGCTGGGAGTCATGCTCGACCCCACTCTCTCCTACAGAGCGCACACTCGCAGTGTTGCACTGCGCGCCTCCCAAAGGCTGGGTTTCCTACGAAAGGCAGCACCCATCCTGGACGACCATGGTCGAGTGACGGTCTACAAGGGATTCGTGCGACCCCTACTTGAATATGCCCCACTGGCCTGGTCGAGCGCAGCCGCAACTAACATGGCCCAGCTGGACAAGGTTCAGCAACGTGCCCTGCATTTCCTGGGACCTGGAACCATCCTCCAAAGTCTTCAGCTTCGTCGGATGGTGGCAGCCCTGTCATACTTGTTCAAGCTGCACTACATTCCAGGGCCTCCCCAGGTAAAGGCCATGCTGCCACCAACCAAGCCCCCTGCCGTAGCTAGCATGTGCACACGGCAAACACGTCAGACGCACCATGCCTTTCAGCTGAAGTGGACACCCCCTCGCACAGCCCCTGACTACCTCCTGCGATCCTTCCCCTTCTTCGCCATCACACCCTGGAACAACCTGCCTGCGGACCTCCTGCTTCACGAGCCTCATTCAAGACGCCTCCAAACCTTCAAGGTCAACGTATGTAAGGATCTAATCCGAAAGAGATGGCTGTGGTCCACACAGTACCTGTGACGATGATATTGAGATTTGAGACCCATTTAGTATTTACCTCTCTACTACTACTTGCTTGTTATGATTACTGTCCTCTTTCTTCATTTTCCCTTCTGGCTTAGTCATTACACGTATTAATTTATATTATTTGGTGCAATACTAGCGCCCCTTTCTCGCACCAAATTATTATTTTTGCTACCTGACCATGCACCCCCCCTTTTTTTCGATGCCAGGTTGCAACGCTAACGCCGAGACCCCTGGTCGGTCGAGTTGCTCCCTGTACATCGGCACGTCGTCCCTACATCCCCTGTGTCTTGTCTTGTGTTTGTCTCCACATGTCTCTTTGTAGGGCTGTGTTCCCAATAAAAAAAAAAAAAAAAAAAAAAAAAAAAAACAGAACAACGTAGTTTGCATCTTTGTGGTCTGGACTACATTGTTTGAGCGCCAACTCGGTGCAGGATACCGCGCCTTGTACCATTAGTAGAATCCGCAGTGAACAGACACTGCAACAACACAGTTACGTGAGGTGCCTATCAAGATCTTAAGCTTTTGCTCATCGCGCCCATTGTGCTGACTATTTTCTCACGTCAGCTGATCACTAGCTAGGATTACGAGATCTCCACTCTTATTGTCTTAACATGCGGTACACGTCTACAGTAGTACAGATCACGTCCCCGGACAGCCCGGACAACAGTCAGTACAGTACAAGCTGACCTAGCAGTTAAAAGTTTAAAAAAAGTATATTATCGTGTCCGTTCCCGAAGGGAACTCACGACGGCCGCTAACACCCGATAAACCCTAGCGGCAGATGCAGCGCCCAACGGTGGGGGTGAGTGGGTAAGTCTCACAACCACTGGCACAAGTGCCGAAAACGATCCCATTAGCTGCATCCATGTGCCCCTTGTGCCTGGCCACAAGTTCCCAGTTGACTGTGGGTAGCAGCAACCCACTGCCTTACACCACAGTAAATACATGTACACCAAACAATATGGAGGAGATGCGCAGACGGCTTCGTTTGATCGCTTGTGCCAATCGGCATGTACACACTGTCCACACGATGAAACCCAGGAGAATATCCATATTGCTACTTTCCTCCACGCCACGAATGTCATTGGGAATCTGGTGTTGAGAAAGGTAAACTTGCACACTTCATAGCAGCAGGGGTTATAGCCGGCTATACTACACACTGTAGCCTGAGTGTAGGGTATTATTAAGAGTACATAACCCCCCAGAGTGTGCAACGCCTGATCCAGCTCTGCATAGGGTCTTGGTCGAGCGGAATCGGATCTTTGCGTCGTAATACCGTACACATCTGAGAGGGAACCCGGGGAGTCGCGGGTACTCTTGGATCAAAAACAAAAAAACAATGGTGCCCTGCCTCGAGACCGGCCTTGCGCTGGTGTGGAGTGTACGCATGACATCAGAAGATCCGATTCCGCTCGACCAAGACCCTATGCAGAGCTGGATCGGCGTTGCACACTCTGGGGGGTTATGTACTCTTGGTATTAGACCAGCAGCAGCAGGAGCAGCCGTACATACAACAGGCATAGAGTACTCTGCAGACCTGTGACCTGGCAAGACTAAGCACCGCCGCCATATTCTACCACCACTCTACCTGGAGTTCAACCTCATGAGCAGGCGAAACCTAGGAATCGGATACTAGTAACCATAGTAACGAACCATGATACTAATACTGCAAGGCCCATGTCACGGACAAGACAGGCTTATCATGGTATTCTAGATATATTTCCGGGAGATCTTCGTTGCAAGGAGTACTCCGGACCGGTGCTGCCTTTCCTGGATTGGCAATAAATTCAATGAATTTTTGAAAATTCCACATACCTAAATAAATTAATTTCACGGTTCGCGTGAGACTCGGCTTGAAGCCGAGTTTTCGTATCCATAGGAACATCACCACCCTCTAGGATCAAGGCGCAGATGCAGCTCCTAAACGAAAATTCCACATGCAGGGACAATAATAGTATTATCATCTGTTCTGTGCTGAGGACCTCTAACAGAGCGAAACAGTTGCTGTCCACAGATTTGAGTATTATCATCTGTGTGTTCAACTTCCAGAGCACTGGGATCCGAGGAGCTTCACGCTTGCACCGGTGACTAGAATATCTTCTAAGAGACGTGCTATTATTGGAGACTGTGCTTATATTAGAGATAATACGGTCGGTATGTAAGACTCAGTGACCAGTTCCCATGACCAGGCCCCATGACCAATCACGGTCCCCGTGACCAGTCAAACAGTCACAAACCCCCCATGACCAGTCACAAAATTAGTTTACCAGTCACAATGCTCCATGACCAGTCACAAATCACCATACATCTGCATGTGTAAGCACACAGTTCGTGACTGCTCGCGGAGTGCTTCATACTGCATGATTTGTTGTGGAAACTATAATTCCCTATGAGCGGTCACAGAATACAGTTGTGACCACTATAATTCCATGCGAACGGTTGCATGCGGAATGTACAGTTGCGACCACTCTTTCTCT